CCTGGCAGACCGATGTATGAAACAGTTAAGTTTTTATAAAAGTCCTAGAACGGCCGATACAACGAGAAGTGGGGTCCAGTTCCGATCCTTCGCAGGGTGCCATGATAAGGGCACCCCGGATCTCATGTCACTCTCCCAGGTCCCCTTTGAGCAGCCACCACCACGCCCATGACCTGCACACAGTGGAGGACGCGAAGGCTCCAGAGCTTACGTGGGGGGCCGAGCTCACACAGGATGAGGTGCAGACGTTTGGCCTGCTGGCTGGGGTGACACACCACACACCTCCATGCCCCAGGAGGCTCAGGACAGGAAGAGGAGCCAGGGAGGGGGGAGGCAGGGGGGCGCTGGGCACTCACCTCTGGCGGGAGGCCACGCGCTCTTTCAGGGCCTGCACGAAGGGGAGGATCCAGTGGTGCCGCAGGACCACGCTCTGGGACAGGCTGAGGTGGAAGGCCTCCATCCTCACCAGCCGGGGCACGCGGGTCTGGGCGTGGGGCAGCAACGCGTCCAGCAGGTCTGGGAACTCCTCCCTGGCTTCGTCTGGAGGGCACAGTGCAGAGGGTGGGCCGCTCTCTTAGCCAGGGGGGCACGGCTGAGTGAAGGAGCCCAGAAGGCAAAGGCCCTTTTCACTCTGGCTTTTAGGAGAAAATTACCGTGATGGCAGCCCCATGTCTATGTATTTTAATGATATTTCAGCCTGGCCGGTGTGGCTCAGTGGTTGAGCCTTGACCTGTGAACCGGGGGTGGCATGGGGGAGGGACGTGTTTGTTTGTCACGGTTTGATTCCGGGTCAGGGCACATGTACGGGCTGTGGGCTCGATCCCGAATAGGGGGAGTGCAGGAGGCAGCCGATGAATGATTCTCTCGCATCATTGATGTTTCTATCTCTCTCTCCCTCTCCCTTCCTCTCTGAAATCAATTTAAAAAATATATATATATTTTAAAAATCTAAAAAAAAAATAAGAGGCACCTATGGGTCTCAGCCACTTGCCTTTCACGCATTACTCACATGGGACGTAGACATGGGTGGCCCAGTTGCCCCGTTCGTGGGGGAAGGTGCGCACCCGGCCCCCGTGCTTTGCACTGTCATCCTCAGGGCCCTCTTCGGTGCCTGCGAACATGTGCAGCACACTGTCCGGCACTGGCAGCCTCTGGCTGGGAAGGGGGCTCTGGACACTGCAAGAGAAAAAAAGAAAAAGAAAATGAGTGAGCACTTGTGTCCTCCGAGCATCCTCTACCTCCGTACAGGGGACCGTGCATCTGTTTCCACCAAGTGCTGCAAGCCGCATCTAGACAACTGCAAAGCTCTCCCCCCAGGATTGTCTCATTGGGGTCCCCCAGCGACTCAGAATCAGACCTCAGCAGGGAGCAGGCAGCAATGTTTGGATCAGACTGAGCTGGAGCAGCACTGCCCAGCTCTGCGGTCTTGGCCAGCCCTGTGCCCTCTGTGGGCCTCAGTTTCCTCTTCTGTAAAGTATACTTCGACCCGATAGCGCCATTGGAGCTGCTGCTGGAAAAGCACTCAGCGGCACCAGGCCTGGCACCTCGGAGCCGAGGCTCCGCTGGTTCTGCTCACTGCTGGGTCCCCAGTCCCCAGCCTGGCGCGGAGCGGGTGCTCAATGAATCTTTACTGAATGAATGAAAAAACAACCCTCCACGCTTTATCTATCATTACTATGCAACTATGTTAAACGAGGAAACAGACCTAGGGCGGTGCAGGGATGGGCGCCAGGAGATGGTCAGCCAGTGGCAGAGGCTGACCCG